TATACCACATTGTTATATAGATCCACTCATGAATTGATGGGCACTTTTGGTTGTTTCCACAAGCTTTGCAATTGTGAATTGTGTGCTGTAAACATTCGACTGCATATGTCTTTTTCATAAAGTGACTTTGATCTATTAGGTAGATGCCCAGTAGTGGAATTGCTGGATCAAATGGTAGATCTGCTTGTATTGCTTTGAGGTATCTCCAAGATGGGGTCCTCACTCTTGGTCAGGCTGTGTCAAACTCCTGACCTCAAGCGATCCTCCCACCTTAGCCTCCCAGAGTGCTAGGATTATAGATAGGCATGAGCCACAGTGCCTAGCCTTTTTTTTTTTTTTTTTGACAGAGTCTTACTCTGTGTGCCCAAGCTAGAGTGCTCTGGTGTCAGCCTAGCTCATAGCAACCTCAAACTCCGGCTCAAAGCGATCCTCCTGCCTCAGCCTCCAAGTAGCTGGACTACAGGGATGCGCCACCATGCAGCTAATTTCATGTCATATTTAGTAGCCATTAATTTCTTTTTAAGTAGAGACGGTCGGGTTGCTTTGCTCAGCTGGTTTCAAACTCCTGACCTCGACAATCTGCCAGCCTCAGCCTCCCAGTCTAGATTACAAGTGTGCCACCTCCCAGATAGCCTGGAATATTTTATTTTTGTAGATGACTAAATATGATTTCATTTTGATTATCTTGAGAAAGACAATTTTCTTTTTTTTTTTTTTTTTTTTTTTTGAGACAGAGTCTCGCTTTGTTGCCCAGACTAGAGTGAGTGCCGTGGCGTCAGCCTAGCTCACAGCAACCTCAAACTCCTGGGCTCAAGCGATCCTACTGCCTCAAGCCTCCCGAGTAGACTGGACTACAGGCATGTGCCACGATGCCGGCTAATTTTTTTTTATATATATATCAGTTGGCCAGTTAATTCTTCTGTTATTTATAGTAGAGACGGGGTCTCACTCTTGCTCCAGGCTGGTTTGAACTCCTGACCTCGAGCAATTCCGCCACTCGGCCTCCCAGAGAGCTAGGATTACAGGCGTGATTCACCGCGCCCAGCCTCTTTTCTTTTTTCTTTTCTTTTTTTTTTTTTTAAACTGTCAATGAAGGAAGAGGGTTAAGCCATTGCCATGTTGGGGAAGAATTGACTGGAGTGGGACAACTGTCCACAATATAGTTTGAAAGACAAATAAGATTAGGAGGAAAGCTGCCTCAGAGGAAGTGATGTTTGAACTAGGCCTTTAGGAATGAATAAAAGTTTCCCAGATAGAAGGGATATTTACAGTAGAAAAGATCCATGTGTTTAGGTCAGTATGTAAGTTATAGCCTAGTGTTGTTTCTCTTCAGAAGAGGTGGATAGCTATTAAGGTTTTAGATAAACATGAAGCAAATGATGATAAACTGGATCTTGACTGACTGTGCTGAGTTTGTTCATCCAACCCTGAGCCTTCAGTGTTCTGTCATTTGCCCCTCTAGATAAACCAGTGTCCCCCATCAATTCCATTTATCTTCTCTTCAGGAGCATGCAGGTTGTCCCCTTGGACAAGCATATGCACAATCATAGATAGTCATGCTTCATTGTATCTCCATTTAACTCCTCCACTGCACTTGCTCTGCGAAGTCCAGCAAGTATTGGAAGTGTTAAAGCCAGTGGAGGCTGCCAGTGCTATCCTGATCTCAGGGCTGTACACTCGACAGGTGAAAGAATCCCTTCCTTGAAGGGTCTTACCACCATTTCATCTTTTATCATTAAGCATTTTATGTGTACTACATCAGATAATGACAGTTCATTTATTTTTTTAGGTGAGTACTGAAATATACTGTCCCAGACTTTAAGAATTCTCTGGAATTTTTTACTATGCTTGCTCAGAGAAGAGGTCTGCACCAAAAAGGTGGAACCCCAAACAGTTGAAGGTGCTGCCAAACTGCTGTGGTCTTGAGTGGACTGGGTAAGGCTTCTTTTTGTTGGCATTTTGTTGATCACATAGAATAAAGGAAACTGATTTTTGCAAATCTTGTTTTTAATGACAGTGCCTCATTAGGTTACTATTGCCATCCTCCTACATTCTGGACAACTCCTCCACATTTAATGAGACTATTATTGCAGACATGAAATGTGGTTTTATCTGGAAGAACTGGAAAAGAACAATGCCACAGCAATAAAAGGTGAGACTTGTGTTGCCTGCTGTCTTTGTGGCTGATAGGCCAGTAAGGCCCTATCTGTTTACATGGGATTGTTCATTCCTAGCCATCAGGGCCCTCTTTTGGCCAACAAGTTCCTTTTCCACTCTTTGGGTATGACAAGATGGAATAATAGAGGGAAAGGACATACATGAAGTATGCCAAACAGAAGAGGAGAAGAGGAGGAGAAGGAAGATGAAATGAACAGTGACCAGGAAACTGTTGATATAAATTGATGTAAGTATGTTCTCCATTTCTTAAGAGGTTGTTTAAAGCTGAGGTGAGTTTTGTAGCATTATAATGTATAATGAATGGTAAGGGGCACAAGTTAGAAATTAAATAATTTCAATTTAGGTATTTGAGGCTTGTGATCATTATTAGCCTTTATTTTGGACATCTGTTACACTATACCGTCAAAGACTTAATTTTTCCAGGTACCCAATTACTTGGATTAGTGAGCAAAGGCTACTAATCCAGCACCTTTTTTTGGTCCCACAGGAAAAGAGCTCAGACATGTCCCCAGCAGAAGAGACATGGGAGGTGCTGGCTGAGGAGTCTACAGCAGGTGAGTCTGGGGCAAAGAGCTTCTAACAAAGCATCATGGTATAGATCATCAGGCTTTTAAATAAAAATCTCTATTTCCTGAAATATAGGTGGAACAGCCTGCAAGATCTTTACCTTGGATAATACTGATTGAAGAGAGATGATGCTTATGATTTCAGTACAGATTATGTGTAATAACAATTCCTTTTATGAGAGGTTTTAACATGTAAGACTGCTAAAGTGTTGTGTATAATGTGCATTGTTATGGTGTGTGACATAAGCTGTAAATTTTGAATGTTGTATTCATTAAACAATAAGGCAATTACAATATCTCGTATCACCTCTTATAATACCATATGAGTAGATGGAATATGTATCTGGAAGCAAACAACAAAAAAACGAGAATACCTATTGAAAAATGTAAGTTTTATTTACAGATAGCCATAGGTTACAAAATTAAAACCAAGCAGCAGTTTTGAATTAGCATGGTAAGCTAGCTGAACTAGCTGTATCAACCATATAGTGTCCATTTTTCTGGTAATTCAACATATAGTAAGAAAACACTTGGTAAGGCAGATGGAAACTTATAGTCTATCTGGATGCTAGACAGGGCAATTTGTTACTTTTACCCAGCTGAAACATCTTTTTCCATGGGTTGTACATGATAGGCATGGAAGCCTAGCAACTGTTACTTCCACACATACTGTCTTGCAAGATTTCCTGAGAAAGCTTATAGTTTAAATTCTGTTTCATTTTATGTTTGAGATCTCTGATATCTTCGAGATTAGGCTGAATTTGCCTGTTGGATCTGGAATATACCATTTTTCCCAAACATCCATATGTGAAGCAGTCTTCCCATGGCTTAAAGTGTCCATTCCAATGGAGTAATTTGGCAGCTTTTACCAAACTGAGGTGAATATCGTTTTCAGCACTGGAACTTAATAATTCAGGAAAAAGAGCCAAATGATTGTACCAGTCAGACACTAGATAATGCTGCACCAAATTGTGCAGGAAAAGAAACAATGGCTACGTCCCATCTTTAGCTTAGGCGTTTCTCTACCAAGGTGGCGGACATTCCACATAGGGTCAATGGTGGTGAGTGCGGTTGATAAAATACGATAAGTAGAGGAGGTGTTGTGATGCTGCCAGCCAGTGTTCTGCTGTATATCCCTCTCTTGGTGGGACAGATATAAAAAATGTTAGTGGAGAATACTATCTCCTGTTAGTCAAGATTCCCAGAGATGAAATACAAGAGTTTTCATAGCTGAGCCAGTTCCTATATACTCCACATTGAGTTTCATCCATTTTTCCAGCTGGTTGGTTATGTTCTGTCGTTTCCATTCTGTCAGGTTTGCAACAAAAATCCAGGATAAATGAGCAGGTGCTGGCTTTCATCGAAACTTACGAATTCTTTCCTTTTTATAGTCAAGATAGCCAATATAATTGTACTGAAAACACAAATGGGATATATGTATTTACTGCTTCAAACAGAATAGATATAATCTTAACAGCTAATAAAAAATCTTGTTATAAAAACTAAATTCTCAGATCATTAGCAAATTAGCAAATAAAAAGGGATAATCGACAGTCCAAGTTAGACTAGGAACCTACAATTTGACACTAAATCAGATGTTCAAGGACAAAAAAGCAGCCTTGAGTTCTGGAATGAAGTTATTCAGCAAAAACAAAATTCCCTGAATTTGCTACCTCTTCCCATTAACTATATTGCAGGCAGTAAGCAGGCAGTAAGGTGTCTAGTAAGCAACTTACCTGGTTCCCTGCTCCACGGATGACAACTTTAGTAGAGGTTGAATCACAATCTTCTGAAAATGCAGCTGCATGTCCTGGCTTCAGTGGTGTATTAAAAAGGGCAAGAATATCACCTAAAGTAAATAAGCTGTTGAGATTTACATTCCAGTTGCCTTGAGATTGATTCCTTTTCCTCCCACTTCTTCCCATGGTGACCTTTTATAGGAGACCATAAATAAGACAACCACTACACCCACAATCTGGATGGAGAACAGCACTCATGGTGACAATCTTTGGTACCTTGCACAATTACATCATCATCCATATATATGGCCTTCTTTGCACTGGGAACCAGAATTGGCAAGTAGAACCTTGCAAAGGTTAACTGGAAAAGGAAGAATTATTGCAAAAGATACTGCAGTGGCTGTGTTTTATTTACGTAGAAACTCCTAGAATGCTCTCAATACCCTTGCAGGAGGAGACAGCCAACCAACTCTTAGACCCCCGCCCAAGGCTTGGTCCCTAGGGAACTAATTTTATTATAGCAAGTTACCAGGTATTCCAATCTTTTCCCATCATTGTACTACCAAGCACAAATAAAGATGCATGGAACTTACTGGTTTGTGGATTCCCTTGGTCAGGATCCTCCTTTACTTTCCCCTCCAAAAGTTTAGTGTCAAAATTCACAATTTTGTACCTGATACTTTTCAGTGGATCACTGTTGAGCCAGGACCTGATGAGGACAAAGCACCAAATTTCAGTTTTAAATAATCATGTCTCCAAACCAATGGGGCTCATATAACTTGAGAAACCATAAGACCCAAATAAGTGTTTTCAAGCCCTTTATCTTTCTGAGCCTTGGTTTCCTCATGAAATGAGGGCATTCCCACAAAAGTCCCTGGACCAAGATTCTATGGTAATTCTCTTCTAAAGCTAGAACTACTTTAGAAAAACTATGGAATTAACATTCCATCACATGGACCATTCAACTCAACCCTCCACATACACTGGTGCAGAAAATGAGTCAAAGTATGAAGGTAATGAAAACTACCCAAGAAAGTAATCAGTCTGCTATCTTCAGTTTTACTTACGAATGCACTATGATGATCATAAGTAATTCTTCCAACTATGTCTGAGGCATATGTACACCCACCCATGTCTGGGTGTACGAAAAAGCCAGTGTTTCCTAAGTCAGCGACATTTTTTTCTAGGTCTTTTTCATGTCATTTCTGTAGTCTTTTTTTTTTTTTTTGAGACAGAGTCTCCCTTTGTTGCCTAGGCTAGAGTGAGTGCCCTGGCGTCAGCCTAGCTCACAGCAACCTCAAACTCCTGGGCTCAAGCGATCCTTCTGTCTCAGCCTCCCAAGTAGCTGGGACTATAGGCATGAGCCACCATGCCCGGCTAATTTTTTCTATATATATATTAGTTGGCCAATTAGTTTCTTTCTATTTATAGTAGAGACGGGGTCTCGCTCTTGCTCAGGCTGGTTTCGAACTCCCGACCTCGGGCAATCCGCCCACCTCGTCCTCCCAGAGAGCTAGGATTACAGGCGTGAGCTACCGTGCCCGGCCTCTGTAGTCTTTATAATGTAATTTTTGTCTCTATATTTTAGTGGGTTGTCATTTTTTTCTTTCCTATTTAATATACATATATCTTAATGAGTTTTTAAAACATAAGAAAATCATATTAATTTCCACAAACTAAATATGAATCATGGAGAATGCTACAAGGACACAAATGTTTTAGAACTCTTACTACTGTTAACCTGATAGACAAGCTGCTTCTTGGAATAAACTTTTTAAATCTTTTTTTTTTTTTTTTAGACAGAGTCTCACTCTGTTGCCTGAGCTAGAGTGCTGTGGCTTCAGCCTAACTCACAGCAACCTCGAACTCCTGGGTTCAAGCAATCCTTCTGCCTCAGCCTCCTGAGTAGCTGGGACTACAGGCATGTGCCGCCATGCCCAGATAATTTCTTTTATGTATTTTTAGTTGGCCAATTAATTTCTATTTTTAGTAGAGACGGGGACTCTTGCTCAGGCTGGTTGCGAACTCCTGACCTCGAGCAATACGATCGCCTTGGCCTCCCAGAGTGCTAGGATTACAGACGTGAGCCACTGCGTCTGGCCTATTTTTAAAACATGAATCAGACAATCAGATTGGGTTTCTATTTACCACAGCAATTAAAATTGTAAGGACCATTTACTGAGCAATGTGGTAGGTGTTTTATATGTATTTTCTTATGTACTTGACATAACAATCCTAAATTGGACATTTTGCTTTCTATAGAAATGGGCTCCAAGCTTCCCCCAATCACTCTGAGCCAGGATTTGGATCAGAATCTATGCTCAAAACTTCATCACACTTCTTGATATTATTCCCAAGTCTCTTCCCACTCTAGACCAGAACTGCTCAGAGCATGTCCATAAGATAAAGAACTTGTGACCTATAAATCACATGCTGCTTCCTTCACTGAGAATGTCTTACTAACAAAACATCAGGTGAAGTTAACTCTGTACATAGCAAAATAGTTGATTACTTCTTGGCATAAGCTCCTTATATCATTTCTGCTATCTAGAGCATCCTCTAGAAATAGAATCAGGCAAGCAGAGCTCACCGGAGATGGTCTGCTGTATTGTTGAGTGTAACAATGTAGAAAATCACATTGGAATGAGTGTTGTGCTGAATACTGTTTATAGCTGCAATGGCCCCCCCAAGCCTGTCTTCAGATGCAGCAATGACCACAGGAATCTCCTCTTGTCTCCAGTCCACTGCATGTCCGGGAACATTTGGGACAAAGTCTATGGGCTGAAGCCCCACAATTGCTGAATCTGAAAAGAACACACATAAGGAAGGTTCTGTGATACAAACACAATTCCATTAACTTCTGATAAGACTTCAAGACATGGAAAGAGGTAATATGAGAATTATCGTACTGATTTACTTCATTCTCCACCACTAAACTGAAGTATACAGCCCAAAACTTCTGTTTTCTCATGTGTAACCAAGCTGTTAGAAAAGTGAAAACTTTTTTAAAAGCAGGCTGAAGGCATTCTGATATACTACAGGTAGGAAAATAACAAAATCTTTCTAGAATGTGTCAAGGCAATTTGTATCAAGAGTCTTAAACATGGGCCAGGCAGGGCACAGTGGCTCACACCTGTAATCCTGGCACTGTGGGAGGCCGAAGCAGGCAGATCACTTAAGGTCAGGAGTTGAAAACCAGCCTGAGCAAGAGTCAGACCCCGTCTCTACTAAAAATAGAAAGAAATTAATTGGCCAACTAAAAAATTAGCCAGGCATGGTGGTGTATGCCTGTTATCCCAGCTACTTGGGAGGCTGAGGCAGAAGGATTGCTTGAGCCCAGGAGTTTGAGGTTGCTGTGAGCTAGGCTGACACCATGGCACTCTAGCCTGGGCAACAGAGCGAGACTCTGTCTCAAAAAAATAAAAGTCTTAAACACCTACATGGCCTTTGACCCAATCATTCCCCTTGCCACCTCTTTTTAAGCACAAAATCTGAAGTGTGATCAAAAGTTACAATTTGGCCAGGCATGGTGGGTCATGCCTATTATCCCAGCAACTCAGGGAGGCTACGGCAGAAGGATCACTTGAGCCCAGGAATTCGAGGTTGCAGTGAGCTATGATGATGCCACTGCATTCTAGCTCAGGCAACAGATTGAGATAATTAGTGAAAACATAATAACAGACTAAATCATGGTTTTTCAAATCACAAATCATAAGTAGGTATGAAATCAGTTTAGTGTGTCACAATCAGTATTTAAATAGAAAGTTTCTGGATTGGCATAGAAAATTGAATTAGGACAGAAAAGAATGTATTGCACAAAGCAACTGCAAGTAGTGTTCTGTAAATGTCCTTGCTTTTCATAATATATTCATTCATTTATTCATCATTCACTGAATGCTGAGCACATACTATGTGCCAGGCAATAAAACAAATGTGTGTGCTGCATGTAATACATGTTCTTATTGTGGGTTGCCATTAAAAATCTGAAAGTAAAAAATAAAAGCCGAAAGTCATGTACCAAAAGATGTTGTGGGACCAATTTGTATCAAGAGTCTTAAACATGGCCAGGCAGGGCACAGTGGCTCACACCTGTAATCCTGGCACTGTGGGAGGCCGAAGCAGCAGATCACTTAAGGTCAGGAGGTAAAAACCAGCCTGAGCAAGAGTCAGACCCGTCTCTACTAAAAATAGAAAGAAATTAATTGGCCAACTAAAAAATTAGCCAGGCATGGTGGTGCATGCCTGTTATCCCAGCTACTTGGGAGGCTGAGGCAGAAGGATTGCTGAGCCCAGGAGTTTGAGGTTGCTGTGAGCTAGGCTGACACCATGGCACTCTAGCCTGGGCAACAGAGCGAGACTCTGTCTCAAAAAAATAAAGTCTTAAACACCTACATGGCCTTTGACCCAATCATTCCCCTTGCCACCTCTTTTAAGCACAAAATCTGAAGTGTGATCAAAAGTTACAATTTGGCCAGGCATGGTGGGTCATGCCTATTATCCCAGCAACTCAGGAGGCTACGGCAGAAGGATCACTTGAGCCCAGGAATTCGAGGTTGCAGTGAGCTATGATGATGCCATGCATTCTAGCTCAGGCAACAGATTGAGATAATTAGTGAAAACATAATAACAGACTAAATCATGGTTTTTCAAATCACAAATCATAAGTAGGTATGAAATCAGTTTAGTGTGTCACAATCAGTATTTAAATAGAAAGTTTCTGGATTGGCATAGAAAATTGAATTAGGACAGAAAAGAATGTATTGCACAAAGCAACTGCAAGTAGTGTTCTGTAAATGTCCTTGCTTTTCATAATATATTCATTCAT